TATATATATATATATATATATATATATATAATATGATCATTAGTTAAATAATAGTTAAGTTGGATTTTGTTACTTAAACTATCGTTCAATTAGATTTGAAATTAAGAAATTGATTGATTTAACTCAACTTATGAACACTTAACAACAAAAGGCAGGTAGATTGATGAATCTAATGAATTGTATATTTATAATTATGACTCCTTTACATATTTTATATCTAAATTAGAAAATATAAAACTTTTACACGCATGTTGATAATAATATATATAACTAATTGTACATAAATAATTAAAATTAAAAAATAAATTAAAGAACACAATTATTTTTAACAAGTCATATAAGTTTATATTTTAAATTTAATCATTCGTGTAAAATTTAATGATATCTGCATTCAATTCTCTCACTCATATAAAATAATTTTGTTACACACACATTAAAATAAAAATATAAAAAAGTACTTTTTTAGACTATAAAAGTGACTTTAAAATATATATTTAATAAATGATTAAGGACAAAATATAAAAGCTAGATTTATTACAAATTGTTACCTTATACTTAAGAAACATTGTTTTATGCTTCGGTTCTATAGTAATGTCATATTCTCTTAACTTTATTTAAAAAAGGATAAAATATAAGAGTAATTAATAATGTAAAAGTTACATAATTATATGATTAAGATTTGTTCTTCTTCCATTCATATATATATATATATATATATATATATGGTCTTTTCTATTAATTTTGTTTATGCTTATAGTGTTACCTAATACTAAATTATAATATTTTACGTTTGCTTTTGTTATATTGGGTATACTGATGGGTCTGCTCCCAGGTCCGAATGAATTTAAAGATGTGTATCTGATAAGTTATTTTTTGAACATGGGAATGCTACTACTAGTATATTTTATTAATTTTTATTACTTAAGCAATTTTATCTTTATATCTCTAAATAAAAATTTAGGTACTTACTTTTTTTCTGAAAAGTTAATAGGAAGAGAAGACAATCTCAATACTGGTAAGGTTGTCTATCAGTTAAGCGGTAAAGTGACATTAGAAAGATTTGAATCCACATTTATGAAGAAGCTGAAAGTTTGCTCTGAATCCTGTAATGTAATGTGACTAATAAAACATTTATCCTCTAAACATATGAGTTGTGTAACAAATGAAGCATTTTTAATGTACTGATTTACTGGTATCTTTTCATTGTTATATAATGTTTTTCTTCTGAATCTTACTAAATAAGAAACAGACTTAACTATATGGCTCATAATATTTAAGAAATTAATTACATTTTTTAATATATTAAATTATTCTACTAGCATTTTTCTTTGAGTTGTGAGAAAAGAGAAACAACGCATTCAACTTCACTACCTGTCTTTCTGACTTGAAGGAACTTTTTTACAGTACAATTGTGAGGACCGACAAACTTTTGTATCCGAGTCAAAACTCATCAGAAGCCAACTCAATTCTGGACCACCATTATCAGGACTTAGGGAAGCTAAAGTGATCAACACGGTCACGGAATATATAAGATTTTATGTTATGTTATCTCATCATTCAAACTATGTATATAAGTTATTATCAGAAGATTTGTTTGGATAAAATAAAATAAACTTATTTATAAAGTAAAATTAACTTGTATATAAATTAATTTGTAAAGATATACTAAAAGTTAATTTTATTTTCTTTTTCAATAAGTATTTATGAAAGATTTATCAAATTATAAAAATAAAAAAATGAAAGACCATCTGAATCTCATAAATCATAATATTAATAAGATTTGTTTGATTTTCTGAGTCTCAAAGCTGATGGGATTAATTCCTGGTTCAATCTTTGCCATTTTAGCCGCAAGAAAAGAAGGTATAAGGACATTATATTGTATCACCAAATGACAATCTAGTTTATCAAAATTGTGTATGTGTACCTTTACTTTTACTAGAAAATTTTTCCTACTAATTCCAATTCTCCGTATAAATGTCCTTTTTGTGGTTAGTACTCATAGTAAGAGTTTGCCACACCTAAGTTCGTAGCCTCTTTTGTCGTATTAGTTGACTCAAAATTTTAATTAGAAACTAGTACCAATTAAGCATCAATCTTTGATATAAAGCTAAAATACCAAATGGTACGACTTCACATGAAAAAGAAAAATGGGATTGAAATGAAGCCCTTAAATTGGATAACGGTAATGGGATATCAAAGCAAATCCATTAAGACATGCAATGATAGCAGCCAATGGAAGTAAGAAACTAAATAAGTCAATATAGAGCATAGAAGTATGCTGTTCTAAAAGTAGAATGTTAATCCATAAAAAGTATATATTGAACAGTGGAGAATGGCTACTTCCTTGTGTATTTATTGCACAAAACCACTAAAATTTCATCGAGTTTCAGGAAACTTTATTGCTTTCTGAACATTTAAAGAAGCTGAATGAGATTGTATCAAAAAGAGGTATCAACCAAATGAGGAATCGCTGCTTTGATCTTCAGAAAGAAAGAAAGCAGAAGTGGAGAAAGTAAATGAAAAGAAAAAGTTGTCAGAAAGAAGCACTTTTTGAGTTTCACAAAAGGGTGGACATTGGATTTGAGATTTTCCCAAACTTCAATTATTTAACTCATGCTTATACAGATAGTGAATCCAACCATGCACCCATGCAGATAATGACACCAAACATTCATTCAGATGAGAGAAAGAGCAAGAGGTTACCTGGAAGAAGAATTAACCCATAGATTGCTGCAAGTGTAGCCCATATCATTATCAATAGATGCATTTGGAGGTCCTCTCTGATTGGGAAAAAAGTTCTTATTTTGATTATTAGGTACTGTTAGGGATATGAAATCCTCATCCCCATCTGTTATATCGCATTATAAAAGCATTAATATATATAAATTCATAATCATAGCATTATAGACATATATACACTAATCTTCTCTTTTTACTGAGTTGTCCATGTTAGCTTTACAACTTTTAAATATATACACGTAAAGAAACTAAACATTAATTAATGGATAAATTAAGAGTGTCTGAGTCATAAAGAGGTGTGAGGGAATCTTCATTGGAATTCAATAAATTGATCTAAAAAATTTGGAGCGGAGGTCAGGGAATTGATTAGTATAAATTGCATTAGTTAAAATATTACAAGCGGCTTACATTATACATGAATTATATACCTGAAGAAGCTGCAGGTTTGTCAGTGTTCTTAACAGTCCTATACATCTGCAGTGACCAAGAAAAGACAAATAAGATGAATATAATACAGAGAAATGAGTATAAAAATAAATAAACAACAACGATAGATCATAGATGGGAAATCTGAATTGTCTTTGAAGAAGAAGATTTTGAGGGAGAATAAAAAAGGGGGGAAAATAATCAAATCAGATGCTTCTTTTGTGGGTTTGTTTAATAACCACGAGGTCGATGTTTGGTAAGGTAAGTAATTGCTTCTATTATTGATAAATGATGGCTACTTTTCCTACTTTCTCTGTCCATCTTTTATTTTCTCTCTCATGAAAAGTAGAAGTTGTCATGTTCCTCTTGTATCAAACAACACATTCCACTGTTCACCATTCATTCATTCACTGCATGCCTTGGTTCCTGTGCCCCTTAGATGGACCTTAGACAAAGTCTACACACTACCCTAGTCCACACAGAGAAAGAAAGAGAAATAGAGAGTTTTTCTTTTTTGGAAATTTGTTTTACCTGGGAAGGAAAATAGGTAAGAAAAGAGAGCAAGTGTGAGTCATATATACCTGCAAATGGCTCTTGACATGAGCTAGTGTTAAATCTTTGACATCCATGAGCTCCAAAACTGACTTAGGAGTAGCCCCTAAACCATCCAAAAACAAAAGAGTTCAAAACATGGTAAAACCTACATAACTAGAGGGGAAGAACTCAAAGACATATATATGCAAAAAGGGATAGAATATTGAGAAAAGAGATTCACTTTCATGGCCACCAAGTAGCTCAACAGCATGAACAAAGCGATTATGAAGAGAGCTAGTCCAACGCATTCTTGGAGCCCTCATGTTCCTCTTACTTTGCTGCCTTGGCAACATTCTTGACTTCACAAATCCATTTGAAAAATCAGAAGAAGCTCCAATATTATTACTATTCCCAAACTGATGCTGCTGATACTGTTGATGATGAGGATAACCAAAGTACTGAAACTGTTGGGGTCCTAGATTCTCCAAGGCTATCTCATGAAACCTTGATATTTGTTCCACTGCTACACCCCCAATAATACCATTATTATTGTAATTAGGAGCTGAATTAGAGGAATAAGGAGGGTGTGGAACTGCATATAGAGAAGATAGCTTATTGGTGGAGTTTATTCTCTCTATTGAGGGAATAGTTAAACTAGTACTGTTGTCCAAAGAAGGAAGGTTACTGTAGAGAGAGATTCCATTGATGAGTCTTAGTTTTTCAGCCTCAGAAACCCCATGGAGAACTCTAACAAAGTTTCTCTTCCTCCAGGTGCTTTCAGCCTCAGAGCGAGTGGTACTTGTGGGGTTGGCTAAGGAAAGTTGTGTGTCTGTGTGAGGGCTACCTTTGATTGAGCCATCACTGTGGGATTTGAGGCCTTCAGCATCATCTCCTTGCTGTGGCCATATATCAAAGAGTGAATCTGAATCCCCTTGGGTGAAAATTGAAGAAGGAGCACTGTTTGGGAGGCTAATGTGAAGGGAAAGATCAGGAATCGGATTCTGGGGCATTTTTGTGTTACCTAGATATATTCCCAGAAATGATTTCAAGCTATAGTAGTATACTATGGTATAATTAGATACAGTAAGCAACAAAACTAAAAGGAAACGGAACAAGAAAAAGAAAAACACTCAACTCAACCTGAGAGACCAACAAGGAGAATTCAGAACCAGAATAACAGACACAAACAAAGGACTCAAATTGAAATTTGATTTGATATATATAAAAGAGAACCACAAAAGCAACAAAACAAACAAGAAGAAGGTGGAATATTAATTAGTTAATAAGGTGATTGATTGTAGAGAGGTGCAAAGTGGGGGAATATGAAATATGTCTTCTTTGAAAGAGAGGGCACTTTCTCAGCTTCACAAAACTAAGAAGAGAGAGAGAAAGAGAAAGATGTGTGGTGGTGCATATAATATAAACAAAAAAAAAATATAAAGGGAATGGGAAGAAAGAGAGAGATGAGTGTGAGTTTTTTTCCTGGCTAACTTGAGTTGAGAGTATATATAGGAAAGTGACACTCTAACAATTCCTTTCATTCTTTTTCTATATAATTAACTCTGCTTTTCTGCGTAGTCAATACACGCAAAAACTGCAAAGTGCAAAGTTGGGACAAGTTTTGGTGTGTTTGATTTTTCTTTCTCCCTAGACGACGCTGTGAAGATATATTAAACGCTAAAGGGAGTAATCAAAGAGGGAGTATACTATATTCTTCTCCTACTACTTCTACTGTATCTCATCATCATTCTCATATAATTCTTTTAACTAAAACTGACGTAGAATTAAAGTCTCACATTATTATAATAAAAGAGTGGATATGTATTTATATAAATATTTTTTTTATTAAAAATAGATCTTTTAAATAATGATTAAAAAATTATAAAAATTTTAATTTAAAATAGATAATATCTTATTATTGTAGATACATGTATATATAAATACACAACTAATTTCTCAAACAATAA